ATTATTGGAAAATAAATGTTTACTAATAAGAGGCTATTGTTGCATTCTCTTTTTTAGACTGAAAACTGTTAATTTGGTGTTAAAAAACACACAAGCAGCAGAAGCTCTTGTCAAACTCTATGAAACTAAACTGTGTGAAGAAGAAGCAGTTATAGCTGACAAGAATAACATTGAAAATCTAATAAGTACTTTAAAGGTAATGCACCTCATTTATGGCTATTTGCTAAGATCACACTCTAAAAATTATTTCTCTAGTACCTAGATCTTCGAATATCAACTAGTAAATATCTTAATTTGAATACATTTATATTAATTTGATTTCCTATCTCTACATAACCATACCTTAGTGTAAATAAGTCATTTTTCATTTGAGGAGAGTTCTTCTCATTTGAAATTTGTGTCTTTTTGCAATAATAGCTTTTTATAATTAATTTGGGTCAGCAAAAGCAATTGAAGCTAAAAATTAAATTATTTCTAATAGATTCTCTTGCTGAAAGAGGTAGTTATTTTAAGACATCAAGGAAGTAAGTAGAGGAGTTAATTCAGGAAAGGAAAAAGACTGGTAGCTGTACTCATCTATATTGATATTTCTATATGTAAAGTATTGAGTATGAAATCATTGCAAAGTAGTTGTGAAAAATTATCTCATTAATTTTTTTAATGCATGTATTCATTTTTAAACGAGATTAGTAGATGTTTAAGAAATAGGCAGTTCGAAAGACTTACAGAGGTAGCAAACTTACTCATGGAATATATTTTTTTTTTATTGATGTGCAAATTCTATTAGCTTGAACTTTATATATAAAATTGGGGTTCTTTTTAGGTCAAAGTGCCATCAGAGATTGACAATTCCATATGGTTCAGCCTAATATATCATTTTTATATATGAAATGTAGTCTTTTCTTGATCTGATTTTATATCAGTCATTTGTAAATAAATTGTAAAGTTAGTTAAATAATGTGTTTACATAGTGGGTGGTTGACAATTTTTATGACTTCCACCAATTAATGCATTTTAGCAATGGAGATCTGAAGTAGATGAAAAGAGAGAGGTGTTCCATGCATTAGAGGATGAGTTGCAGAAAGCTAAAGCCATCAGTGATGAAATGTTTAAAACATATAAAGAACGGGACCTTGATTTTGACTGGCACAAGGAAAAAGCAGATCAGTTGGTTGAAAGGTGGCAAAATATTCATGTTCAGATTGACAACAGGTTAGTATCCTTTTTGTTCAGTTTCAGCACAGATTTAATATTTATCCTGTATTCTAGGTAAAATCTAAACTTCTAGGTTTCTAAAAAAAACTTCTATATACAGTTAATTTCATATAGTTACCTTTCATATATAGTTAATTTTGTTAATTGCAAGAGCTCCACCTGATTTTATTTCTTTCTGGTATGGTGGAATCAGCAAGACAATTAACTTCAAAATAAATATTTTTCAACTCTATGTTGTTAAAACTGTTGATATACTCTGACATCTGTATAGTAAATCTACTTGCCTTTTCTAAAGGAAATTATTACTAACTTACAATGTTCAAATAACCAAGATTTAGTAAGAACGTGTTCTTACCATGTGTTTGAGGGGGCTGTATGAAGGAATCTGTACTAGACCTAAGAAGTGTAAAGCAATTGAAATGACTCGGTGTTCATTTTAATTGAGGATATAAGACAGTTGAGATCATTCACCCAGTGATTAAAATAAAAAAAGTGAAAGGAAATGGAATGTTTTTAGGACTCATCTTAAAAGAAATGAAATAGTGTCCTTTCTCATTCATTTTAATGTTTATATAAATGCATATAAAATGCCTTTATAGCATAGTACCATTCTTGAGAAGTAAAATTATATTCAAATATATATTATTGAATCTCTGTAAAATACATGTTATATGGGTTTAATATAGTGGTTTTAAAATCACAGGAACTGAGGTATTTTTATTTAATCACAGTTCTAGGAAGTACTTTCTTGAGTCCACATTGAACTGTCTTTTGAACTACTTTATCATTATTTCAGAAGTAAACTGCCATTTATGCAAACTTTGAGTCCTTCAGACATACCGATTGATAACAATTATGATTACGTTTCCAGTTTTCCTGATTTTTAGCTTTAGTCAGTTAGGCTTGAACCTGGAGTAACCAGTATCACTAAGTTGTACAACTCCAGGACCAAAATATCTATATTCGACCTATGCCAGTATGGTGTGCCCTTGGAGATAGTCTTCAAGGTGCTGTAGCCTTGAAATCTTTACACACACCCTTATTGTTGTACATAGTGCACTGTGGTACAGTAATTTCATCTCTCCTTTCTGTATCTTCTACCCTCTTAATGGATACTGTTGGAAACAGTGACTACTTTGTTTTTATTCTCTTAGGTTACGGGACTTAGAAGGCATTGGCAAATCACTGAAGTACTACAGAGATACTTATCACCCGTTAGATGATTGGATCCAGCAAGTTGAAACTACCCAGAGAAAGATTCAGGAAAATCAGCCTGAAAATAGTAAAACTCTAGCCACACAGTTGAATCAGCAGAAGGTATGTAAAAACAGTTTCTTACATGAAGTTTTTGTCTGCATTTGGTCATTCATGACCATTATCTTCCTTTACCTCATTAAAAGAAAAAGTCAGCAAGTATTTGGAGGAAGATAAGGAGTAAATCATAAATACTAAAATCCTGTAATCCAAACCTATGTACATCATGTACTTTGATTTTTTGGAAGTCATTTTCGAAAGTATAAGGAATAAGAAAAGAGCATGCTGGGACAGTGTTCAAATTTCTAATGGTCATTTAATCATCAGTATGGAAATCTCTTTATTAGTACTCTGCTTGCTACAATAGTTGGGATCCCAAAAATGGCTAGTGGTAGAAAATTAAATACCACACTTGACAGAGAATTAAATTCTTTAAGATTTTTATTCTGTCTTGTGGGACAGTAGTGTCTAGTTTTGCTTTGATCAGGAGTAGGTGGGTTCAAGGCCTTCAAGTCTATCTTTGGATGATTTCTGCAGAGTTTAGTGATTTCTGTTTTGGAAGCCCTCCCTGAGTGGGTCATTTATGTGGCTTAATGTAGAAGTTTGTCATTTGCCTAATTACATATTAAGTGCAAAGGGCTAAGAAGCTTTACTATTAAAAGGTATGGTTATTTCTTAGTTCCTGATCATCTTGGTTGAATAGTATAGAGTTCCTTGTTCTTTTCCTTCTAAACTCTATGTGTTTGTAGATGCTGGTGTCCGAAATAGAAATGAAACAGAGCAAAATGGATGAGTGTCAAAAATATGCGGAACAGTACTCAACTACAGTGAAGGTAAGAAGATTCAGTTACTTGCATCAAATTTAATTTTCAGCTATATGATTCAACAATATACTTTAAGAGAGAGTCTCTGCAAATCACTCTGTTAAATAATGAAAACAGAGACTCTTAATTTGTGACACTTAGCTAATAATTCTCTGTTGGACATGTGAGTCACATGTCAGCCTCTGCTTCATTCATCCTCTCTCACACACGTGCACAACAGCATACATACACACACCAGAATAGATGTATAGCTCTGAAATTGGTTTCTTATTGATTTGTGCATGCTTGTGTTTGTTTTCTCTCTCTCTTCTTTAACATTGCTAGAATATTCCCTGGAAGAACGTGACTTTCTTAGGAGACAGTTCCCATGGTTGAAGTTGCCAATGTCTGGGCCTATTTAGCCATCCAGATCTATAGTTCTGTTGCCTAGCCAGGGGAAAGGAAGGCTGAATATAACTAGCATATTATAACTAAATGATTCCATGAGCTTCTAAAGAGACTTGGGAAACTTTTATGACCATCCAAATGTTTCCGATTTTTATTACCACCTTGGAAACATCCCAGGATTAGATAGATTCCTAAAAATGTAGTTTTGCAGTAATTTTTAAATGTTATTCAGTGAAAGAAGCTAGGTTCAATTTCTGTGCATTGAGTCACTGTAGAATGGAGCATTAATGTTTTGCTTTAATTAATTGAATCTTATAACTCTTATACAGGACTATGAATTACAAACAATGACCTACCGGGCCATGGTAGATTCACAGCAAAAATCTCCTGTGAAACGCCGAAGAATGCAGAGCTCAGCAGATCTCATTATTCAAGAGGTAGTAAAAGTACAAGAGAGAAGTGAGGCGATCTAAAAGAGAGAAACAATACTTTAAAAATTGTATTTATAGGGATCCCTGGGTGGCGCAGCGGTTTGGCGCCTGCCTTTGGCCCAGGGCGCGATCCTGGAGACCCGGGATCGAATCCCACGTCGGGCTCCCGGTGCATGGAGCCTGCTTCTCCCTCTGCCTGTGTCTCTGCCTCTCTCTCTCTCTCTCTCTCTCTGTGACTATCATAAATAAATAAAAATTTAAAAAAATTGTATTTATATATTTGTATACACATAGAAATTATAGTTGTATACACATAATAGAAATTATGTATTTGTACACACATAATAGAAAACATGCCATTTTAACCATTTTTAAGTGTCCAATCCATTGGCGCTCAATACATTCACACTGTTTTGCAAATGCTGACTACTGTCCATTTCCAGAACTTTTTCCCCCTCATTCCAAAAAAGAAACTCTACCTAAACAGTGCTTTTCCTAAGGGTTGTAAAAACAACAAAAATTCTTGGAAAAGCTTTATTCAAGATTAATTATTAATTGCAAAGAATAACAAATACACTTTGCAATAAAATTTAGAGAAGAATTGTCATTTAGTATGTTTTGCACAACAGTAATAAGCCTATCCCTACGTACTTACAATTATTGGGCAACTGTGTATTTTACCATCACAAAGGCTAGTTAATGTTATAACTGTTAGTCAGTGTTCATTAAACTCATTTAGAGCAACTGGAGATTATGCTTTTATTGTTTATTTCATTTTTTGCAGTTCATGGACCTAAGGACCCGATACACTGCTCTGGTGACACTCATGACGCAATATATTAAATTTGCTGGTGATTCATTAAAGAGGCTGGAAGAAGAGGAGGTAACCACTAACTATGAACAGCCAACTAAAAAGCAACTACGATATGTTTGGGAAAACAAAAAAAGTTTTCATGACAAATTTACATGGTTGATAAATAATTAATTAGATGGTTACAATGAAAAAGAGTAGAGGCCTGCTATTTTTTGGTTTGTTTTTGATTCTCTCCAACAGGAAAGCATTTATTTTCACTCTAAGATGCTAATATTATTAGAGTTAATGTCTTAAATGGCTCTATGAAATGTTGGCAGCTTGGCAGAATTTTTTTCAGTTTTCTCAAATTTGAGAAATATACTTCTTTGAAGTATAGTTACTACTGTTGTCTACAGAAATACTACTTAAAGTGTATTTTATACATTTTAAAGTAATTTACATCTTTAAGGATTTAAAACATAAAAGCCATTAGTTTAGAAGAAGCAAGTTTTTCTACAAAATGATACTACTTTTTAAGGATTGTGGAGTTTTTTGTTTTGTTTTTATTGTTTCCCAAAAGATACAGTATATGGTAAAAGATTATTTCAGTACCATTCTAATTTGGAGGATTTCTCTGCTTTGATTCTACATTTAAAAAATATATTCAGAAATAGAGTAAGGAGTTACTTATGAAAATATATTGTCACAAAAGGCTATTGTATCTAATTTTGAAGGGATTATACTATGCTCTATTATCTTGATATGCTTTCTATTCCTACCCTCAGAACAGACAAAAATAGTAGAGAGAATGATAAAATAAGTAAATTGTGAGGCATTAGCCATTTAAATTAGACTGTTGAACTTCTGAAGATGATTATACTTAGTGTAACTTTGTATAATGAAAGAACTGAAATGGTAGTGGATGTCTAATAGGTATTACTTTCTTATTTTCTACTTTTGCAAAACTATTTTAGTCTGTTCAGAGTTAATAGATTTCTGCAACTAAATCACTAACATAGCTAATTGCAAGTCTTTACAACTAGATTCCTGTATGCTTAGAAAGGAAAACCAGAATATCTGTAACCATTCCAATAGTTGGTATACATCTCATCTCTACAAGAACATCTATAATTTTTTTTACATTTTCAGTTTTTGAGAGATATGATCCCACTTAAAATGATATGTAGATCTTTCAAATTGTATATTTAGTTAAATATCAGTCCTTTCCCTTTCCTATAGTATATATCTGATTGCACATATATGAGCCATTTTGCTGTTTATGTGATGAAGTATAATACTAGAAGTTGACAGAACCAAGAGATTTTTTAAAAAGCCTGATAGATGTACAGATTATGCTCATCATCTTTTGAAACATAAAAAATTCATACTCAATTAGAAAGTCATAACATTATAGTTTACAGAAGACCATGAAGAGACTGTAACTTAAAGTAGATAAAAAAAGATTTGCTGATTAAAAATTGACACTAAAAGATCATATTAATGGATTGTCTCATAAAAAAGATATATAGCTCAGTTTTCAGACTCAAGAGTGATATTTCTGAAACTGAATCTGAAGACTTACATTGGAAATCTGGGTCTGAGAGCAGAATTTTTTGTAATAAACATAAAAACAAACAGGGTTACAAGTTAATTTCAGAAGAGGAAACCAAAATAGAGAAATGTTAGAGTATCTGTAATGGATGTTAGATAAAGAGATTTTCTAATCTATGTTGAGAGAAAAGTACATCAAATGTTAGTTGATGAGATTAAAGGACAGGATGTTTTCCTTTAAAGAAAACTTGAGGAATTTATTTTTATGAGTAAATTTGAGAGCTAAGAGAAAGCAAATCAAATAGAATTAAATTTCTTCTAGTAATTTCTGTAGTATTTGCCAAGAAATTCAGAATTATCTAGACAATGTGAGATTATTAACAGTTACTAAAATGACTGTAATTAAAGTACTGAGGGTTTAATAACAAAGATTTTTTTTTTCTGAGAGAATTTTCATTTTTCTAACCTCAGCACATGGCAGAGAAAAGAGAGGGCTCAAAATCTTTTAGTGACAACTAAGTTTTAAAGGAGTTTTGATAAACAACTGAGGAAGACCCAGTTAGAAATTATCTCAAAAAATTTAATATTTAAGCAGATAAAATGCTTCAATGTCACCAGGAGTTGACCCTGATAACAAAATAAAATAGAGCACTAATTATAGCAGGTTGTGCTTCAAAGTATGTTTTTACATGAATTCTTATTATGAAAATTGGGTTAGCAAAGGAAACAACAGAAATTCTTATCAAAATTATTGGGGATCAAAAAATTAGAAGAAGCAAATTAAGATATATAGTCTATAATGTAAATTAAATTCTTGAAATTTACCAAAGCCTCTCAATGAAAAAAAAATCTGCTATCTAGGATAATTTCTCTGCTCTATTTAAATGGTTTCTAATTATGAGGATTTTGAGTTGGTGATATGAATCTAATAGTCTTATGGTATTAATAAAGAGAGATTAAATTGGAATTCTATATTAGCCCTGATCATGTAGTCCTATAGTCAGTGCAGAATATACTCCTCCCAGCTGAGATTGATTCTTCTATCAATTGAAAAATAGTTTTCTTATATTTTATTCTGGATGTTGGAGTTGACTCCCTAAGTGTATTTTTAAAAACATTTATACTTAACAAATATCTTTATATTTATGAAGTATCTAAAGGTACTTGTCAAGGTGGATTCATATGAGGCATGTCATTAACGACAACAACAACAAAATCTGTGAGTATATGAAGCACATCTTTTGTAAAGCCCCCAGAGACTATAGCTGCCTTTGCATTAGCAGCTGATTATTATAATTGTCATAATATGGCAAGTAGAAACAAATAAGGAATTCAACTTTAGAAATTATGTGTTTTTATATAATTTTCCTTCTTCCCCGTGTTATTTCTTGATTTGACTCTTCAAAGTAGTATCAAAATTCTGTGTTTTGTTTCTTTAACCATAAAATAGGGAGATGTAAATATTTTATTTTCATATATTTTTTAAAAGATTTATTTATTTTATAGATAAAGAGAACATGAGTGGGAGAACCAGAGGGCGAGGGAGTGAGAATCTCCAGCATACTCCCTGCTCAGCTCGGATCCCAACACTGGGGGTTGATCCCACCACCCTGAGATCATGACCTGAGCTGAAACCAAGAGTTGGACACTTAACCAACTGTGTCACCCAGGTGCCCCCTCCCACCTTTTTAAAAGATTTATTTATTTATCTTAGAGAGAGAGATAAATATTATTTTAAATTTTCATTGGGCTAGGTATTGAAAAATAAATTTTTAAGTGTCATTCTAGTTCCTTTATGCTTTTAGTTTGTCAGACAGCTGTGTGTGAAAGCAGAAAGGGTGCTACTGTGAGTTTTATTTCCCACTTTGTCACTTACCCACTGTGTGAGTTTTCAAAACTGTTTGAACTCTCTGCACCTTGGTTTCCTCATCTATACAAGATTGGGGGCATGCTGTATGTTTTATAAGGTCCCTCCTTTCTTACTATAAAATCTTGAGCTAGCTAATTTTTAAAACAAAATTATTCCTGAGACACACACACACACACAAACGATTATTCGGTTTAGCAAAGCTGACACAAAGGGTTTTTTTGTCTTGTTCCATTGCTGACTTTCTGAAGCTTATGCTCTGAGGAAGGTGATGGTGGCAGTGGTGATGGTGGAGGTGATAGTGCTTGTCCTGCCTTTGGTTTCACTTGTTCTTACAAGCACTTTTATGAGCATCACTTCAGATTTTTTAAGATAAATTTGAATAGAACAGGTTTGACACTTGTAAACGTCTCTTGTAGATTAAAAGGTGTAAGGAGACTTCTGAACATGGGGCATATTCAGATCTGCTTCAGCGTCAGAAGGCAACAATGATTGAGAATAGCAAACTTACGGGGAAAATAAGTGAACTGGAGAAAATGGTAGCAGAACTGAAGAAACAAAAGTCCCGCGTAGAGGAAGAACTTCCCAAGGTCAAGGAGGCTGCGGAAAATGAATTGAGAAAGCAACAGAGAAACGTAGAAGACATTGCTCTGCAGAAAATTAGGGCTGAGAGCGAAGCCAAGCAGTACCGCAGGGAGCTAGAAGCCATCGTGAGGGAGAAGGAGGCTGCAGAACGGGAGCTGGAGCGGGTAAGAAAGCTCACGCTGGAGGCCGAGGCCAAAAGAGCAGCAGTAGAAGAAAACCTCCTGAGTTTCCAGAACCAGTTAGAGGAGAACACCTTTACAAGAAGAACCCTGGAAGATCATCTTAAAAGAAAAGATTCCAGTCTCAATGACTTGGAGCAACAAAAAAATAAGTTAATGGAGGAATTAAAAAGAAAGAGAGACAACGAGGAGGAGCTCTTAAAGCTGATAAAGCATATGGAAAAAGACCTGACATTTCAAAAACAGATAGCAGAGGACCGGTTGAAAGAAAAGCAGAAGATTGAATTGGAAGCAAGAAGAAGAATAACGGACATTCAGCTTTCATGTAGAGAAAAGCCATTGCCAGCCTGTGTGGTTGCACAGCCTACCTCATACAGAGGAGTAGCAGGTCTTCAGGAAGAGCAGGACAGACAAAAGACAGAAGAACTCAAACAGCAGGTAGACGAGCTAACGGTCGCCAATAGGAAGGCTGAGAAAGACATGAGAGAACTGAAGTATGAACTTAATGCCCTTCAGCTTGAAAAAACCTCATCTGAGGAAAAGGCTCGTTTGCTAAAAGAAAAACTAGAAGAAACAAATAATACACTGCGGTGCCTGAAGTTAGAGCTGGAAAGGAAGGATCAGGTGGAGGAAGGGTATTCCCAGCAGCTCAGAGAACTGGGGAGACAGCTGAACCAAACCACAGATAAAGCTGAAGAAGTCATGAAAGAAGCTAATGACCTTAGGAAGATAAAGCACAATTATGAAGTAGAATTAGAATCTCTTCAGCAGGAAAAAGGGAAACTGCAAAGAGAAGTCGACAGGATCACTAAGACCCATGCTATAGCTGAGAGGAATATTCAGCACTTAAATTCACAAGTTAATTCTTTCCAGGCTGAGAAAGAATCCTCTAATGAAAGAATACGGTTCTGCCAGAGAAAGTCAGAGCATCTAAAAGAGCAATTTGAGAAAAGTCATGCACAGTTGCTTCAAAATATTAAAGCTGAGAAAGAAAATAATGATAAAATCCAGAAGCTTAATGAAGAATTGAAGAAAAGTAATGACTGTGCAGAAATGCTAAAACAAAAAGTAGATGAGCTTACTAGGCAGAATAATGAAACCAAGTTAATGATGCAGAGAATTCAGACAGAATCGGCAAATGTGGTTTTAGAGAAACAAGCTATCCAACAAAGATGTGAAGCCCTGAAAATTCAGGCAGATGGTTTTAAAGATCAGCTACGCAACACAAATGAACACTTGCATAAACAGACAAAAACAGAACAGGATTTCCATAGAAAAATTAAATGCCTGGAGGAAGACCTGGCCAAAAGTCAAAATTTAGTAAGTGAATTTAAGCAAAAGTGTGACCAGCAGAACATTATCATCCAGAACACTGAGAAAGAAGTTAGAAATCTGAGCGCAGAGCTGAATGCTTCCAAAGAGGAGAAGCGACTAGGGGAGCAGAGGGTACAGCTACAGCAAGCTCAGGTGCAAGAGTTAAATAACAAGTTGAAAAAAGTACAAGATGAACTGTACTTAAAGACCATAGAGGAGCAGATGACCCACAGAAAGATGGTTCTGTTTCAGGAGGAATCTGACAAGTTCAAACGCTCGGCAGAGGAGTTTCGTAAAAAGATGGAAAAGTTAATGGACTCTAAAGTTATCACTGAAAATGACATTTCAGGCATCAAGCTTGACTTCGTGTCTCTTCAGCGAGAAAACTGCAGAGCTCAAGAGAATGCCAAGCTCTGTGAGACAAATATCCGAGAACTTGAAAGACAGCTTCAGCAATACCGTGAGCAAATGCAGCAAGGACAGAATGTGGAAGCAAATCATTACCAGAAATGTCGGAAACTTGAAGATGAGCTGGTAGCCCAGAAACGTGAAGTTGAATGCCTAAAGCAAAAGATGGATCAACAGATAAAGGAACACGAACATCAATTAGTTTTGCTCCAGAGTGAAATCCAAAAAAAGAACCCGACCAAAGACTGTACCTTCAAACCAGAGTTTGAGATGGCAGTAAATGAGTGTCCGCGCTCTGGAGACCTGCCCTCTAGGAACACAGGGCAGCTTCACCCAACGACCAGGTCTCCTCTGTTGAGGTGGAATCAAGACCCACAGCAGTCAGAAGAAAAATGGCAACATCGGGTTGTTGAACAAATACCAAAGGAAGTCCAGTTCTGGCCATCAGGGGGTCCACCTGAGAAAGAGAAAAGCCAGCAATGTTACTCTGAGTATTATTCTCAGACAAGCACCGAATTACAGATAACTTTCGATGAGACAAACCCTATTACAAAACTATCCGAAATTGAGAAGATAAGAGATCAGGCTCTGTACAATTCCAGGCCTCTGGTTAGGTATCAAGATGACAAATGTGAAATGGACCTGGCGAAGCTTTTGGCCCCGTTGGAGGTATACTCTGGATTCTGAGACCTTATTAGCTACCTCATACCATGTTTCCTCTCTTGTTTCCTTTCTCTGCTAGACTAAATTTTTTTTAACAATGTTGTGTGAGATTGGCTCTTTGTAGTTCTGGCGGAAAATTATGCCATAGATTTCTAGAGATTGGCTTGAATCTTTACTATAAATTATCATTCTTTAATTTTTAAATGTTTGAGATTAAATACACAGATGTAATGGTTAGATCTATGGTATTATATTCTGAAGAATGTTTTTTTTTAGAAGCTAGTAAAACCAAGCTAGTTCACTTTAATTTCTATAGTTTCTTTGTAGAGATTTCACCTCAAATCTTTTTTAAGCATGCCTTTTTTTTTTTGAAGATTGTCTTTTTAAATAATCTCTATACCCAAAGTGGGGCTTGAACTTACAACTCCAAGATCAAGTCATCACATGCTTTACTGACTGAGCCAGCAAGGTGCTCCTAAACATACCATTTTAATACCTTAGTTGTCATTTAAAGTAAACTTCAGTCTGTCGAAATAATATTACTTGTCCCTGAGCCCTCTTTGGTTTGAAAATTTTCTTCTCTTTACTTACCTTCGTTATTGTAGGAATCATATTTGGATTGAGGATGAGTAAAGTGACAATGTTTTTTAGATGACTTTTAATGTCTCCTAAATTCCTGTTACAGATAGCTAAGAACAAGCAGTATGATATGCACACAGAAGTCACCACACTAAAACAAGAAAAGAACTCAAGTCCCAGTGCTGAAGAATGGATGCTTGAAGGGAGCAGAGCATCCGGTGGACTCAAGAGAGATTTTCTTAAGAAAGGCTCAGAACCAGAGAGCTTCCAGAACTTGGATGGTGATCACACATGTTCAGTTAGGGATGATGAATTTAAATTCCAGGGGCTCCGGTGCACAGTGACTGGCAGGCAGTTGGTTGAAGCTAAACTTCTGGACATGAAAACAGTTGAGCAGCTGCGACTTGGTCTCAAGACTATTGATGAAGTTCAGAAAACCCTGAGCAAGTTTTTGACGAAAGCCACCTCAATTGCGGGACTGTATCTAGAATCCACAAAAGAAAAGATTTCATTTGCCTCAGCAGCCAAAAAAATCATAATAGACAAAATGATAGCTTTAGCATTTTTAGAAGCTCAGGCTGCAACAGGTTTCATAATCGATCCCATTTCAGGTCACACATACTCTGTTGAAGATGCAATCCTTAATGGAGTTATTGACGCTGAATTCAAGATTAGGCTTCTTGAGGCAGAGAAGGCAGCCCTGGGATACTCATATTCTTCTAAGACATTGTCGGTATTCCAGGCTATGGAAAATAGAATGCTTGACAGACAGAGAGGTAAACATATGTTGGAGGCCCAGATTGCCACCGGGGGAGTCATTGACCCTGTGAGAGGCGTCCGCATTCCTCCAGAGGTTGCTCTGCAACAAGGCTTGTTAAATAATGCCATCCTACAATTTTTACATGAGCCATCCAGCAACACAAGAGTTTTCCCTAATCCCAATAACAAGCAAGCTCTCTATTACTCAGAATTACTGCGAATGTGTGTATTTGATGTAGACTGCCAGTGCTTTCTGTTTCCATTTGGGGAGAGGAACATTTCCAATCTCAATGTAGGAAAAACCCATAGGATTTCTGTAGTAGATATTAAAACAGGAGCAGAACTGACTGCATATGAGGCTTTCCAGAGAAACCTAATTGAAAAAAGTACCTATCTTGAGCTTTCAGGGCAACAGTATCAGTGGAAGGAAGCCACGTTTTATGAATCCTATGGGCATCCTTCTCTTATGCTGACTGATACTAAAACAGGATTACAGTTTAATATTAATGAAGCTATTGAGCAGGGAACACTTGACAAAGCTTGGGTCAGAAAGTATCAGGAAGGACTCATCACACTTACAGAACTTGCTGATTCCTTGCTGAGCCGGCTGGTTCCCAAGAAGGATTCACACAGTCCTATTGCAGGGTACTGGCTGACCACTAGCGGGGAAAGGATCTCTGTCTTGAAGGCCTCCCGCAGAAATTTGGTTGACCGGATTACTGCCCTCAGATGCCTTGAAGCCCAAGTCAGTACAGGGGGGATAATTGATCCTCTCACTGGCAAAAAGTATCGAGTAGCAGAAGCTTTGCATAGAGGTCTTGTTGATGAGGGATTTGCCCAGCAGCTTCGACAGTGTGAATTAGTAATCACAGGGATTGGCCATCCCGTCACTAACAAAGTCATGTCAGTGGTGGAGGCTGTGAATGCAAATATCATAAGTAAGGAAATGGGAATCAGATGTTTGGAATTTCAGTACTTGACAGGGGGGTTGATCGAGCCACAGATTCATTCCCGGTTGTCAATAGAAGAGGCTCTCCAAGTAGGTATTATAGATGTTTTCATTGCTACAAAACTCAAAGATCAAAAGTCCTATGTCAGAAATATAATGTGTCCTCAAACGAAAAGGAAGTTGACATACAAAGAAGCTTTAGAAAAAGCTGATTTTGACTTCCACACAGGACTTAAACTCTTAGAAGTATCTGAACCTTTGATGACAGGAATTTCTAGCCTCTACTATTCTTCCTAATAGGACACGTTTAAATAACCTTGCACAAAGGTGATGCTATCCACTTCATATGATCTGTTGAGAGCATGATGGTATCAAACACACAGTCTAGCAATCGTGTCTCATACTCTAAGCACCATTTATTTCTTGAGGGCTGAATATAGCTGACTGTTCAGAAGAGAGAATAATTTTTAAAATTGGAAGTAAAAAAATATTTACTGTTATTCAAAATGGTTTCCTTTAGCTTTTAAGTTAAGCTTTTGTATTTTTTTGATCTTGCCTTCACTGTAATATGGAGTAAGCTTGATGAACTCCAGCAAGTTCATAGCATCCTTTCTTCAGAATTCTTCATCACTGGAAGGATCCAGCCGGACATTAGGTTTCCCAGTTATTAAACGATCCATTACGTTCCCTGAAAGAGCACTTCAAAAAGCACCATGGATTCAAAGAGATATAAATTTGTTCCCACATCCCTGAGGCTATAGTGAAAAAAAATTTTTTTCTGTACATTGTAACCTTTACATATTAAATGTTTACCACAATTTCCCATTTCCAGGTAGAGTCTGTAATTAAAAGTAGCATTACTGTGTGTTGGAAGATGGGGAGAGATTTTTCTTCATTTTGTGTATCTTTCATATGTGTGTACACATTCACCGTTCTTTCAGATTTCCATTGTTTGATACTTTTCTGTCTAGACATTTGCGATTGTAATGCTAATGCAAAGGCAGCACTTCAAAGGTCTTCTGGTGCTTCATGAATAAAATTGAGTTTTTTTATTTGTCATATTGATAGACCAGCTGGGAGGTTGGACTGATCATTCCAGAGAGTCACAGCTTCCTTTGCTACCATAAACATTTTGGAACTACATCTGCCATGTGACTTGAAAAACATGGTTAAGTAAATGAATAAAATACTCAGTAACTGGTGTGTGATGATAAAATATTTCTACATTGTTCTCTGTGGAGAGGTCAGTTTAACAGCTTAAGCATTTACTGGAATATGTCTTTTTTTCCTAATTACTCACATTTGTCAGAAGTCACTGGAAGAAGAAAAGAAAGAGCATGTTGAAAAAGCCAAAGAATTACAGAAATGGGTATCAAATATCAGCAAGACATTAAAAGATGGTGAGAAGGCTGGAAAATCTCCCTTTTCTAAGCAAAAGGTATTCATTGAGGCTCTGGTTTAATAATAATAGTGGGTAGAACTTACTGAATTGACATGGTCAAGTGGAAAAAAAAAACACTTAAGTTCTTTACCTTAATTTTCCCCATTTTTATAAGCAATTATAATGAGGATCAGAGAGGTTAAGTAAGTTGATCAAGGAATCAAAATATGTAGGAGAAGGAAGTGTCTCTGATTCCAAAACGTTACCTATATATATTACTGCTTCTCCTAGTGGTTATATCTGCTTCTTGATTATAGTGAAGAGAGTTGCTAAAGAACAGAGTCATCATGTTTTGTGTTCAGAGTAAATCCACATACTCCTTATTGTAAAGATATATGGTCTCATTCTTACAAAGGTGAATGAAACGGTTCAAAAACAACAGAACTACAGACTCAGGTGTTAACATTTTTGAGGATTTCATTTAGTTGTGCTTCCCTGGATCTTAGTATTTTACAAAGAAGTGTTCTCTAGTCAGTCACTGGAAATTCTAAATTCTTTCCCTTACCTTCATGAATTCTTTTGTGCAGAGGGCTATCTTCTGTTCCTCAACTGCTTGGCAGTGGTTGAGTAGCACAGCTCATGAGCTATTAGTGCCCTGTGATGTCTGTTGGATGATACTGCTTGAAGCTCTTAGGGTGTTGATGATCTAAGGTCCAGTGTTGATGCTTGCTGGTGATAGCCCTGGAATTGAAGCTGTATTTAAAAAAAAAAAAATCCACTAAGTTAATCAGCATTTTTCCTCAAATACTTTTCCTACACTTGCCTTCCTGCAATCATTAGCTTCCTCTTCTACCTCTGCGTCAGTGTTCACTTGTGATCAGTTGAAACAGACATTGTTGATATAACTAAATAAAGGGAAGCTTCAATGTCTTGTCTAATTTTGGCTATGATATGAGGCAGATGTAATGTATCTGGGGTTCCCCATTGGAGAAGTTTACAAACCAGAGTATATACTTGAATTAGTATTCAGTTGAAATAAAGCCATATTAGCCCATAGTCTTACATACTGTATTTCATATTTGTGTGGAGGCAATCAGAACTTGGAAAGTAATTATATTTGGTATTTTAAACTCCAAACCTTCAATGTAACTTTATGTGAATATTTAGTTTAAAGTATCTTCTCCCTCTTTGTTCTCCCAGTCAGGTAGGGAAAGAACTTAAATAGGGACATAAACTTTAGCAAAGATGTCTTGGGAGAACAAGTTTCTTTTGAGAAATGAAGATTACAAAGCTTGGTATTTTCTTATTCTGCAGTTTTAAATTCCTTAAAACCTTACTAAATCCATTTTAGACCTACTAGACATGAAAGTAGACAGATACTTTTTAAATGCAGATCATAGTGCCTAAATTACAAGTCTCTAATAAGTACTTGATGGTCTTTCTGTTAAGTGAAATTTAAGGTAATTTGATAGCATAATAAATGTGTGTGTTAAAAATCAGCGTGGCCTCATGATTACATGCAACCATGAAAAATAGACTTTGGCTGTATTCTGAATAGAGTACATTGGGGGAGAATATACCTTTTCATTTGCCCATCATTTCTTCTCATTTCTGTTCCTTTTAAAAGAATGGCATCCAATTTCCGAAATAGAGTATTCAGAAGTGATATGTTGAGAGAGTAGGAAAAAATGTTACAACCTCTTGCTTTTCCTTAAACAGATCAATTTTATTCCCCTATCATAGATGAATTTTGCAAATTTTAGAAATTATTTAATCTTGGTCTGCAGATCTTACAGATTACTGTTTTCACATTAATTTTTTAAAAAAGGGCAGGGCATACAGGAACTTGGGGGAGGGAAGATACTCTTCTAGAGTAGTGTCCCACATTCATATATCTTTTTGAGTGCTGCACCACACAAGGGTAACACCGGGTCAGTGAAGAACCTCTGGCCACCTGTGATAGTTGAGACAACCTTCATTCACTGTTGGGCTGCAACAAATATGAGAACCACATAATGCCATATTATTTCCTCATGAAAATGAGGGCATTATGGTTAGAAAAAGAGTCTTAATCTGCATTCTAGATAAAGTACTCTTCTTATCCAGGCTTGTACACTGATAATAACTGATAGGTATATTGACATGGGCCACCCATCATTTGGATCTTAATTAAAACTTGATTAGTTAAAAAAAAAAACTTGATTAGTTTTTAAAAATTACTATTTTCTCATCTTTATTAGGGGAGAGTTTCAATATGTTTTCTCAACCTTGCAGATTTCTAGTGAAGAAATATCAACCAAGAAGGAGCAATTATCTGAAGCACTTCAAACCATGCAGTTGTTTTTGGCAAAACATGGAGACAAGTATGTTGGTTTTCATTAGCTCTTTTGTTCAAAGTAGAGAATTGGTCTTAACATTAAAGCAAAAGCTGGTAAATTTTTTTTAAAAGATTTTATTTTTTCATGAGAGACACAGGAGAGAAGCAGAGACATAGGCAGAGGGAGAAGCAGGCTCCATGCAGTGAGCCCGATGTGGGACTCAATCCTGGATCCCAGGATCAAACCCTGAGCTAAAGGCAGACGCTCAACCACTGAGCCACCCAGGTGTCCCAAAAGCTGGTAAATTTTAATTGAGGTTTTAAAAACAGAACTCAGGAATTTACTTAATGTAGTATACAACTATAAATTTAGCAATTTAGCTGTCACTTGTAGTCACTTACAGTTTTTACCAAAACCCTGAAATGTACCTATTATTCCCATGTATTAGTGATAAGAAAACAGGCTCAGAGACCTTAAGGATGGGTAGCTAGTGAGTGATAAATATTCCAAGCCAAGTCTTAATTCTAATTAGTACTCTCTATGACTTGACTTTTTGGAAAATATGTATGTTCTTTATTTTCTTTGCTGAGACTTGTAATAACCTGTTTTTTTTTCATATTTTGGTCTTACTTTTTCCAATAAGGCCCTTCATATATTTCAGCTAGTGTCACGGGCAGGAAAAAAATCTACCCTTTTCTTAAACTCTTTGTGAAATTGTCCCCAGGAACTATGCCACAATGACTTTGTACTGCACCTTAGAGGATCAGGTTAATTTCCTGTAAATTTCATCTTTATTCATGCTTTGAATAAGTTTTATCTTGAGTAATGGTATCTTTCTGTCCCGTTTCCATGTTGGAACTAATAATAGGATCTTTCCCTCTGTCATATAACAACACTGTTATTTTAGAAATGTATACATGCTAGAAAAGTGTTGATGTATTTGTTTATGTCCTTCTCTCCAGTCTCTCTCAGGCAAGGGAAGGATTCTTAGATGAGTAAAGGCCATCCTTAATTTTCCTACACAGTCATTCTGAGATTTGAGCAATCTGTACATGAAGTTTTATTTTATGGCCATGTGATTATTTAGAAAAGGATTTTATGTTACAAAATCATTGAGCCTAATATGTCATCTTTACACTTAACGACTTGCATTCCTCTTTTCATACTTTCTGGTTATTATAGAATGACAGATGAAGAAAGAAATGAATTGGAAAAACAAGTGAAATCTCTTCAAGAAAGTTATAATACATTCTTTAGTGAATCTCTGAAACAACTACAAGAATCACAAAGCTTAGGAGATAAAAAGGTAGAGGAGAAGGTAATATAATTTATTTAAAACATAAAGTGCTTTCAAGTTTCTTCGTTTTCTCGCATGGTTGTAGAAGTAATATATAAATGATAAAGAAATGACCTTGAATTTGTGTACATGGAAGAAATGTGAATGGAGTTTATCTGAATATTTAGAGATTTCAGTGTTGTTTATTAAATGCAATCTTACACTTGCTGTCATCAGTTTCTGTGACATCTTAATCTCTGCCTTGCATGGTCAAAGAAAAGAATCATTCATTTTTCTAACTCTCCTCTTTAAAAGCCATTCTTCTGCTGCCATATTAGGTATTTTACTATATAAATATGATGTTATAAAATGGCCTTGACTCATCTTTAAAGATGACATTAGAGTGTTACGAACTGATTTGATTTTCAGAGAGAACCATGAGATTTAATGGAGTAATAATACTGGGCCATTCGTTATAGTGAGGATGCCATAGCATCTTCTTAAAATATAACAGGAACCACTTAAAATTTGGCCTGTCTTTAAACTTTTGAAACTTGACAATATATATTTACAGTATTCAACATAATATTCAGTATTGAAAAGTTATCTTTATATTTAATTCCCTTATTCCCTGGAATACTTTACACACTATTTGTCACATTTTGGGGGTATGTAACAGTTTTTCTGGTTCATTAGATTTTTACTGTCTGCGAAGAAGTCTGTATGCTGTAAACATCAATAGCATGGGGTTTGATACTCTTTTTCATGTCAGTTGACTAATCTCACCCAGTTGCAGAGAGCATGGTTTGCCTTCTTAGGTATGTGTTCTGTTTTCTCACTATCATCATTTACTCTGTTGTGTCCTCACTAACCTTGTTAATGTACACAATATTAAGTTTTCAATTCACAGATGCATGTTATTTTCAAAGCTTTTATCACATCCTGTGCTGTTGAATAGATCACTGACATAGATCACTTGTGCATTTGAGCTGCCTAACATTCACAGCATTTGCTGCGCCTTGGTAAGTAGAGGATTTTTATGTTGAAGTGTTTATTTCTTAAAAAAAAAAAAATGCAAACTATGTTTCATGAAATTCTGCCCACCCTGGGGTCACAGACCTGAGAATTTTTGTATTTTCTTTTCAGCTGGATAAAGTGATTGCAGGCACCATTGATCAGACAACTGGAGAAGTACTTTCCATATTTCAGGCAGTTTTAAGAGGCCT